AGCAAAGAGAACCAGGCAGTTGCTAAATTATTCACACGTGCTCCTGTTCAACAGGTATCTCTCAGCCCTCCCGCCTCCTGCCTCCTGCCTCAGGCCCTAACCTCGCCTCCCCAGGGCGCTCCCCACAAGGCCAGGACTGGAGGGAAAGCGTGAGAAGGGCGCGGTGTGACGCTGTGACAGGTGCCTACTTTCCAGGGCTGGGCCAGAGGTGTGTTCACCCTTGTCAGTCTCTCCGTGACACAGGGGATGCCAGTCTCCCCTGAGTGGCACTGAGCGTTTCATTAGAAGAAAATGCCACACCAAGAAGCCCGAGGGTGTCAAAGAACAGGATCTGAGATTGGCCTTCCTCCCAGGAAATGGCCCCTTTGGAGAGAAAACTGCAAAAGGATGTGCCCCAGCCCATGTTTCTTTGCCCACACGCTCACCAACTTTCTCACCACAAGGCGGAGGGCAGGGCCCTAGACCAGCCATCAGGGACAGGCTGATAGTAGAGACAGTCCACCTGGAGAGAGGGGGGCTGTGACTCAGGGCCGCTGCCTCATTGCTACCTGGATGCAAGCCTCGAGCTGTCAGGTCCCCTGGTGTTTCCAGAGAAGACTAGAATGTGAATTAGGATGTGACAGCATCCAGATTTCCAAAAATCAAAAAGCGATTGTGGGACATCAGTTTGCAACTTTTGGTCTGAGGTGACACTTGGGAAGGGTGGGTTGGAACCCCAGGACTGACAAGAAGCTGTTCCCTTCATTCCTCTCTCCTGCCTTTGAACAGAGCAGATGCCTGGACTGCAGGCCTCCTCAGCTCAGGCCCTGTCTCTCTTCTCCAGGTGCCTCTCAGATTTCAGCAGAAACCAATCACACCCCTTCTCTCAGTAGTACCACTGGACAGAAGGTTTGTGTGCCCTGTGGCTGCCCATGCACTGGCTGGACAGTAGCCCCACCATGAATGTGGGGTGCAGCGCAGTAACAGACATAAACCAGGTTGGTGGTCTTGGTGGATGATGGTTGTTGTGGTAGGTGGATGGTGGTGGCGGTGGGTGGATGGTGGTCGTGGCGGGTGGATGGTGGTTGTGGCAGCTAGATGGTTGTCATGGAGGGAGGAGGTGGTTGTGGTGGAAGGCTGGGGGCCTTGATTGATTTCCAGCCACCTCCTGCTCATTTCCACCTGGCTCAGTGGACCCACCTACATGCATCTCTTCTATGTTCGGGAAATATCGTATGTCACATAGAACAAAATAAAAAAGAAATAAAACTATTTAACTGGTTCCAGTGATTGCGCTCAGGAGTGACTGATCCTGACATAAGGTCCTCTGCATCCTCTGCCATCCCGAGTGCGTCTGTAAATGACCCCTCTTCCTTGAACACGGGCTGTGGGGCACATCTCCACGCTGTGCTTATCCTCACAAGACACCGAGCTCTGCACTTTATTGGTGATTTAAGTAGGTTCAAGGGTAATTTGGACTTACTTGATTTTCACCTTGGTCTCTAGAACCCACTCGGGTGAAAGACCATAACCCCGACGGTAGGAGCTAAGGCTCGACATTTTTTAGTATCATTATTTAGAGCTGACACAGCTTATATAACAGGCCCCCTCCTGCCACTGGTGATGGAAAATGCACACTTGAGCCAGAGAGGATGGAGCCCAGCCTGGCCCCGCCGCTGAAAGGCCATTAACCAGGCCAGGGCGCCATGAGGGTCGCGGGGTCCTGGCGCTGCGGTTCCCTACATCATCTTGGTAAGTTTCATCAAAACTGGGGGTTTGAACGTCACCCATCAAAGGTGTCAATGGGAGATTAAAAAACAAAGATCGGAGTCACTCCAGCTCTCTCTTGACTCTGTCTCCTCCTCTCTTGGGAAATAAACTTGTACAGATGGTGTAAAAGCCCCTCCTTCATTCTCTCCTCTTTCCTTCTTTCAAGAGGGAGGCCTGGGGCCTCCCTTGTGGCTCAAGGGGGTAAGTCGCAGCAGCACTATGAGGTGATCCGCAGCCACTGCAACCTGAGTTCGATCCCTGGCCAGGGAGCTGACCCACATGGCACAGCAGACCTCTCCTGTCTCATCTGCTGCTCCCCGTAGGGGTGTATTTCAGTCAATCTGCCTGTTCTGCTCCCCACTCTGTCTCTGGGGAATCCTCTCACCCCCTGCCCCCGTACCTCTGGTCTGCACCTCAGCTTTTGTATGCATACATAAATAACTTTTTTTTTAAAAAGAGGGAGGCCATTCTGTACACCCCCTTGCATGCTTTGACATCACAATTAATTCTCACCTGCACTACTGTTGTGTGTGTATGAGTTTAGACAGTGGTGCACACAGCCCCTGGCCACTGGCTCTCCTTTTTTGCTCCTTGGTGAGGCAATCATGCTTAATTCTCTAAGTGTGCTTGCAGTGCCACCTCTTCCAGGAAGCCTCTCTGGATGCCTCTACTTTCACTGCAGCTTCTCTTATCCAAAAGAGGACAGTTGAGTTGTGCATTTCATCTTCCTGACTTGCAGCTTAATGACACATGAGGGGGATGATAGGATCAAAGTCAACCAGAGTGTGGTGAGCTAACCTTTCTCTTTGGGCAGATTTTCCAGTCTTGGGGTTTCTCAAAGCTTACAGTCCTTTGTAAGCCCTGGAGGAGCTTGCTAACCCAGAGGCTCCTGGAGTCACACCCAGAGTGGTTCAGCAGCGAGAACCTGTCCTCCTCCCTCATCATTTCATTGGTCACACTTCTGACTTAAGTACAACATCAGTTTCTCTGGGGGGTGGGGGTGAATTAATTTAACCCATTATTTTCTAATCCAAGACTGCCTCACCACCAGGCTTACCTGGGCAGGGGTGGGAACTGATTTAAAATGCAGGTGACTGAGCTCCTTCTCCCCTCAGCTCTATTGAATCTGAATTTCTAAGCGAGGTCCTGAATTGATATTTTTTAAGACCAATATTCAGGGGATTCTAATCAGCAAAGTTTGCACAATGTTGATGTAACAAAAGCAATGTTATCCCTCAGTGTTTCACTACGAAAAATTTTAAACGTACAGAAAAATTTAAAGAGTTTTAAGTCAACCTGGGTATAGCCATAATCTAGATTCTAACACTGACATTTTATTACTTTTTAAAAAATTATTATTATAAGTCTATCTACCTATTTCTCTCTCCATCTAAAAATCCATCTTTGTCTGGGGGCATTTTAATTTAAATGCCTAAATACTGCAGCATATGCATGGCAACAATTTTTAAGGTGAAATTTACATACAATGAAATACATAAGTCTTGGATGTGCCATTGGAAAGTTTTGACAAAAGCCTGCACCCATGTCACCCAAACGCCTCTCAAGATCAGGAGCATTTCATCATCCCATTTCATTCCATTTCCCCCCTCCCAGATAATCTTGTCTGCAGACAATTCTTTTCTTTTCTTTTTTTTTATAAAAAGACTTATTTACTTATTTATACAAGCACTGGGTACAGTCAGAAGTGCGGGAGGGTGAGAGAATTCACCAGAGCCAGAGCCGGGAAAACAGGCAGACTGACGAAGTACACTGCTGAGAAGAGCAGCGGGTGCGGCAGGAGAGGTCTGCGCACCATGTGGGACCCTTGCTGGTGGCCAGGGTTGGAACTGGCGCTGCAAAGGCTGCAGGCAGTTTTGCAGCCCAGCGCTCAACCGCTGCGCCACCAGGGGAGGCCCCATGCAGACAATTATTTTCTTGGTTTTTGTCTACCATCGTTTGCCTTAAGAAAAAAGACCTTTAAAAAGCAATGAAAGAAAAGAAAAAAGCTTCTTCTAAGAAAATCATATCCACATCCTGAATATTTTATTTATTTTTTCATCACTTACAAAAAAATTAATTTAACCCATTATTTTCCAATCCAAGTCTGCCTGATCACCAGGCTTACCTGGGGAGAGTGGGAGGGGCACAGAGCTGATTTAATGTAAATTTCACCTTAAAAATTGTTGCCATGCATATCTGCAGTATTTAGGCATTTAAATTAAAAAGCCCCCAAACAATGACTACCAATGATAGCATTTTGGGAGTGTAGCTTCATAGGTATACGCTTAGAGTCTCCTCCGTGCTCCCTGGAAATTCTAGGGCCATGGCGTGGTGTTTGAAAGGATTAAAGCAGACATCCACAGTCAGAGGCGCGGGGTTCCAGGCCTGGCCGGGTTGTGCCCTAAGCATCCTCTGAGGTGTCTGCTGGCCCTTGGCTCCCTAGAAATCCCTCTGCAAACTGACAGGCAGGCTCCTGGTGACGATAATCTTCTTTCTCCTTCGGACCATAGTGTGCTTCTTTATTCTATGGAATCTGCTTTCTCTTAAGTGGAAAAAATATTCTGTATTTCTGGCTACAGCTTGCTACAATAATTGTATAAAGAAAAGAAAGAAGGGAAAAAAACATAAAGTTATTTTCAGTTATTCTTTTCTTTTTTGGTGAAAAGTTTTCACTTTCAAATTCGGGCACATGGATAACACGGTTTCATTTCACGATTCTCAATAAAGCTACCTGAACTCTGATTGTATCAGCAACCTCCGGCTACTTCCCCAACACGCGCCCTGTAATATAAGCCTGTAATTTTCACTGTGCAGCAGGGCCAGGTTTTATGGGCTGGGGGACGCAGCAGTCTCATCTCATTGCCTGGTTGCCACAGGCTAACAGCACGGAACAGAATTCACCCTCAAAATGTCAGCGAGAAGAGCCCCTGCCCTGCTCCCACCCCACTGGCCCTTGGATGAGAGAAGTAAGTGGTTTCCAGGCCCTTCAGCTACCAGGTTCTTCTGGCTGGGCGGCTCAGCTCTCATTTCAGCTTCAACTCCCCAACAGTCAATGGCTTAGCCACAGGATCCGAAGGACCCACACATCCCCAGCCCTGTTTCTCTTGGTTTTGATTTTTCATTTCCACAGCTGCTTCTGCAGATCTTCCTGAGGTGTGTATCTAGTATTAATATACAAAGCAGGTTTTCAGTGATTGCTGAGTGGTTACATAATAGACAATGCATTGTGACCTCACTGTCACATTCTCCGCTCCTCAGCCCTATGCCAGATCACTGTCATTCATTTTAGGCAGCCAGTTATTGCTTCCCGAGCTGCAGCAGGGATTCCTCTGACCTTATGGTGAGAAGGGGGTTTTAATAAGCCACAGCAGAAGTAGTAACCACCCCAAGAATTTGGGCTGTCCGTATCTCAATAGTGGTACAACTTGGAAAAACAATGAGTGGGTCAGGTTCACTTCTCTAATATGATGCATGTTATTTTGTTACCTTATAATTCAGGCTGTAGTTGATTATAATTATCTATCCATGGGAGTGTTGACTGAACCTAATCCATGCAATGAAATTCAAATGTATTTGCTATAATTCAAACACAGTTAGCAGGTGGAAGGCTCAGTTCACAGATGCCTGTGAGCAGAAACTATGTCTGTCCTTTATTTGCTCTGAACTGAGTTCCCAGCCCACTAGGGTATAGGAGCATTCAACCTCAGCCATGAAAAGGAACTATCCCCACACCCCAGATTTCCCCAAGCTGCTTTGGGAATGTGATCATCGGTGCTGTTTGCCAAATAGTCTGGTCGCCTTTCTCCTTTGTGAATCATGGTGTGATTTCATTTCCCAAGTGACTTATGATTGGGTGGGGCTTGATGACCAGTTGAGTTGTGAGTTGAACTGCTGCAGCCAATCCTCGGTCCCATGAGCTGTGAGTTGAACTGATGCATCCAATCCCATGAGACAGAACTGGCAACCTCTCTGTGCTTCACACTCAGGCAAAGCAGCAAAGTGTGGTGTAATGAGGGAGCCTGGGGTTTGAATTAAAATCTTGGCTTTATAACTGACCTTCTGTGGGACTTTGGGGAAGTAATTTAACACTCCCGATCATCATTTTCTTACTTACAAAATGATAACCAGGATGCTTGCTCCTTGGGGGTACTTAAAGAGTAAGAGGGATCATCTTTGAAAAACCACTAGTAGAGTCCTGGAATTTCTAGCTGTTGCAGCCTCACAGCTATCTCTGTTAAGATGTTTTGGTAGAGGTGGGGGCCACACTGGGCTCCAAACAGCTAATGTTTCCTTCCAAATCTGCCAGGTTCTGCTGCAGAGTCATGTCAGAGGACAGAACCAAATAAGTAAGACATTTACTGTGAAGGAAACAGGCAGCTGCAAGAAATGCACTGGTTCTCTGCATCAGGTTGCTATTTCAATGGACTGTTAAATGTCAAGTGAGTGTTTTCCTCCTGCTTTTATACATCACCAAGATCATCTCTTTGTGATCCCAGGGAGAAGGGGTTGGCAGTCTTGAGTCACATGCAAGCTTTAAATATGACTTGGAGAAGGAGGTGAGTTAAACAGGTCTAACATTAAGACAAAAATCAAATCTCTCATCCTAGAGGTTTGTGTGGATTATGCTATTAAAGGTATGTATGCACACATCCATTCAAAGAGATTCATCAAGTTCCTATTGTATATCAGGCATTGTTTTAGAATCTAAGGATACGAAGACAAATAAATGGATAAATACAGCTTTCCTCATGGAGTTTATGTTCTTACTAAGGGAGACAGAAATAAACAAGGTAAGTAAGTAAAATAAAAAGGAATTTAAGTAGCAATAAATGCTAAGGATAAAGACTAAAGCACGGAAGACAAACAAGAAATGTCACAGTAAGCTTTGTAATTTAGATAGGGCAGCCGAGGAGCGCCTCATGAAAGGATGCTTTGGAATATATCCAGGTATCAGGATCTCTAGACTGCAAACACTCTGGCCCTGACCCATGTCACATCACCATTCCTCATAAACTTAAAATAATGACAAGGATGTGCATGTTACTGGTCCTGGAAATAATTAGAGAAAAGGTGAAGCAGAGCAGAGTGCAGGAGAACTGTGTGGTAGGCTTGCTGCATGCAGAGGTGATCCTGAAAGGGTGGAAGCATGCATGCCCCTTGCTCACCAAGTGACTATGTCAACAAATAGATATAGAATTTATATCTACCTATCTATTTATTTATCTTACAATTAGATTTTAATGTATTTTTATCTAATATCTATCTATCTATCTCATCTATTACCTATCTATCATCTATTTATGTATTATCTATCTATCTATCTATCTATCTATCATCCATCTCTCTCTTTCTCTCTCTCTCTCTGGTAGAAGTTATTGGTGCCTTGGTGCTGTAGGTGATGTGCTAACATGCATCTCAAGAAGTATACACATAGACCCTTAAATCATGTAAGGTCAATGTAAATTGAATTAAAAATAATAGTTTTAAAAAAGCATTTTTAAAAGAATAACTAAGCCCTTTATTTTGTGTCAGGTCCTGTCCATGGTGCTGAAGCCCTCACCTCATTAGAGCATCTGCTTTCAGGGAGTATATGATCTGGTGGAGGAAAAGGATCCAGCAATACTTGGAACAGCAAACACTTGTCAAGTCTTATTCTCATTACTTACATATATTGAGTCATTTAACTCTTGTGATATAGAAACTGTTATTATTTCTATTTACAGATCAGGCAATCAAGTCAAGCACCTTAGCAAGCAGCAGAGCCAGGAATCTGAAGTCAAGCAATCATGATGAAAAGTATTTGTTCTTAATTACTACACTGCATTTCAATAAACAAATAAAATGAGAGATAATAATATAGAATATTAAGTACTGGTGCAAAAATTTTTTCCCACTACTGACATTGAAACAGATGTGAGTAATTAGATTGTGACAAAGGGTCAAAGATTCAGGTGTGGGAAGAGGAACCTTTCTGTGTTCAGCTTTCTGTGGCTGGAACCCAGGGAGAAAGGAGCTTGGATATTGAAGCCAGCCAGAGAGCATAAGAAGGAAGCAAAAGGGTCCTTGTTCACACATCAACTCTGTCACCCTGTGGGAACTTGAAGTGTGTCTAGGAGGAGCTGTTAACAGTGTTTGTTTCTAGTAAACACCTTTGTTCCTCGAGTTGACTATTTTTAAACTTTTCAAGCTGAGCTAACTTTAGGTGTGACATTTCAAAGCAGTGGCCCAGCTCTCTATTAGGTGAATGACAGGGTGGGGAGCAGTGGGGGAGAGCCTGAGATAAATTATTTAGACTGGAAGAAAATGGTAATCTAGAGTTTCAGAGTGGTGCTTCAGCCTCCTGGCTTACCACTCATGAAACTTTGACATGGCAGAACACAGGCACTGGGTGATGAGGAATGGAGCATTATTTATATCTCCTTGAATTAATTCAATTAATATCAATGTAATAACAAGTCTTCACTTAGATTTGTGCTGATTCCAAAATGTTTATGGTTGCAGTACAGAGATAGTTTCTAATATATATTCACTTTCTTGTATATTTTGTTTTCCTGGTCAGTTTTGAGCCTGAAAACTAACTTTTTAAGACAATACTTGGGTTTTTAAAACCAAGCATTTTCAAAATTCCAAGAACTGTCTTTTGCATAAATCAGTGCCAGACCTAACTACCTGGGACTCTGGAACTTCATTGCTAACCATGGCAGGGAAAATTCAAGAGCTGATACAAAGAAAATATCGGGAAAGAAGAAAAGAAAACTTCCTGCAAGGGAAGTCAGAAATGAATGTTCTTGATTACTCATAGTGGGGAGAGGTTGTGGAGACACAGGCAATGTTTAGAAATGTCCACTAAATTGGGAAAACTTCCAACTCAGGGGAACTTCCTTTTTTTGTGAATCAATCTGGAAATATTGCCAGATTCTAAGAAAAATCTTCACGTTCAGTGTGGGGCTGGAACAACATGGTTCTGACAGTCTGTAACTTGGACTAGCAGAGAGAGCTGCGGAAGGAGGGAGAGGCTGTCATTAGCATCTCTCAAGTCTCCTAAATCTAGTGAGTCATGGAAGAGGCACCAGAATCTCATGGGCTTTTAAAGGGCATGAAGCTGGTAGTTGAGTTGCATTGTAGGCCCCTTGGAGCTTGGGTGGGGCTGTGACAGCTGGGATCAAAGAAGGTTTGGTTCTTTGGGGCATGATGTTTTTTATCACTATGAAATCAACAGTGGTTTCAGAACAAGACTACTCCCAACCAAGCAGACCAGAGACGCCCTGGACCCCTAAAACAGTACCTGGCCCCAAAGCTCCTTCCTTATCATCACTAGTCTAGCACATACAATACCCCTCAAACTCATCATCATCTTTAAAATTTAAAGTCAGAGAAGGTGGAGAGGAGACAGCACTGATTAAAGCCTGAACTTCCTAAATGTTTACTGAAGAATGCTAGTTATCCTTTGATACTTATATGTCCTTTGGAGAGTTTAAATTCCTCATTGCTATTCAGCAGGAAGGGATTCATAGGAAATGTTGCAAAATATAAGGAATTCCATGTTTTTGCACCCTTGAGTAGAGCATCTGAATTATTCATCTCACAATTTAATCTATTGGAGAGGATCAGACATGGAAGAAAAAGCCAGGCACGAGAGAGGGTAGCTTCCAAAAGAGTGGGGCAAACCACTAGCTTGTTGAAGATATGAGGATAGTTATGTGTGTGTTCTAGTGAGCCTGAGGAAGACTTTCTGGAGGAGGAAGAGTTGAACTACCCAAAAGGACAGGCAGGAGAAAGGTCTAGTCACATCTCACCTCAGGGCCTCAGGGCCAGAAGTTGGGTTACTGCTACGTGCATGAGCTCAAACCCTGGCCAGGGAGCTGACCCACATGGCGCAGGAGACCTCTCCTGTTTCACCTGCTGCTCTCCTCAGCAGTGTATTTTAGTAGATCCACCAGTTCTGCTCCCCACTCTATCTTGGGTGAATCCTTTCACCCCCCGACCTCTGGGCTACACCCCAATTTTTGTATGTATAAATAAAATAAATCTTAAAAAAAAAATCCGGAGGGGGGTGGAAGGGAAGGGCAGAGGAAGGACTAGGGTCAAAATAAGGGGGAGGGGTGCAATTGTACAGGGAATATAACCAAAATGATAATGCATACATTGTGCAAAGATGAAAAGTGATGTAAGAATTATATAAAATGAAATATTAATTAAAAAACTAAAAAGAAAGAAAAATGATTTTAGAATATCTTCCCCTCTTATGAGGGTTTCTACTTTTTTTTTAAACCATTTATATTTTTTTAATTTAAAGATTTATTTATTTATTTATTTATACAAGCACTGGGTACAGTCAGAAGCGCGGGAGGGCGAGAGAATTCACCAGAGCCAGAGCGGGGAGCAGAGCAGGCAGAAGGACCGAAGTACACTGCTGAGGGGAGCAGCGGGCGGCAGGAGAGGTCTGCGCGCCATGCGGGACCCTCCTCCAGTGGCCGGGGAGCAGCTGGGGATCGAACTGGCGCCACGGAGGCTTCGGGCAGCTTTGCAACCCAGCGCTCAACCGCTGCGCCACCGGGGAGGCCTGGTTTCTACTTTTTATAAGCACTCTACTTTCTAGTTTATTCTATATTGACTTATCTAAGACCAAGATATAATCTTTTATATAATCCATATATGTGCTTTAAGTCTGCTGAAAGCTCATTACATCATTTATTTTGATTATTTGTTAATAATAAAAATTAAACAATTTATTAAAAAAAATTCACACTCCAGAGAGATGTGGCCTACTAGCCACTTACTAACTATGTGCTTAGTTGGTTACATGCCTCGTTAGAGTGTGTTGTGAGTACCAAGTGAGCCTGATGCCAAAGTCCCACGAAGGTGGTTTAAAAAATCAAAATAAGATTCAGATGTGCTCCCAGTGGCTGGCGTGCCTCCAAACTACTTTTCCCCTTTCACAGAACTAGGAGGCCTTCTTCGCTGGTGGGTCCCCTGTGCTTGGCACAGAACAGAGACCTGGGCACAGGTGGCTCCATTGCTCCCTTCAGAAGCTTCACAACAGGGCACCATCTCCTGCTAAGTCTGGTAAACACTTCCCAGACACTCAGTGCTCTTGGAGGAGGAGAAGGTGGAGGATGTCAGAGGGCTGGATGGATGAGGAGGGGCAGCTAAATGGGCAGAGGGAGAAGGATGTGGGACCCCAAACCCATCTTAATGTGGGAGGGGGCTCAGGAAGGGCAGCCTGGTCCCGTGCGCTTTACAGTCTAGTTTCTGGGGCCATGTCTCTAGGGAAGGGGCCATAATGTGACCTTCATGTGACCCTCCCACCTATCTAAGAGGTAAAATGAATGCAACCCATCATCCTCAGGGCAACAGAGAAACAAAGGAAAGTTCCTCGATGGTGTCTGGCCTCTTTTTTCCATTTTTCAAATCATAGAAGACGTCAAAAAAGGAAATAACGAAGAATATTCTGCTTGACATATATGCAGTCACCCTCAGAATAAATGAATATTGATGTTTTGTCACATATTTCAGTTAAAAATGCATCCTAGACAGTGAAAAATTTACTTTTTAAATTTTCACAATTCTATGTTTCTCTCCCTTTTTCAGAAAGAGCAATTATTATGAAATTTGATTTTTTTCCTTCCTGTCCATGTATCTACTGTTTTGTGAATTCATAAGCAAAGGGAAAGTTTTAGTTTATGTGCTTTAAAATAGTTTCATGCCAGCATGTGGAATGGATCATTCTGCAGCTTATTTCCCACTCTACTCTTCCTTTGAGATTGCTCGCAGTCCTCAGATGAAATCAACCCTAATCTTGCACTCCTGGCCTGGATATTATGGGAAAATACATCTCTGGTGTTCCAGTCACCCCAGCACTAGTTAGCGCCTACCTAGCACATCCCTTGTATGGCGGCCATGGCACACACATACCTCCCATTCCACAAGGGGACGTCAGTGGAGGGCAGTGACTGTCGTGGGCTAGTAGGACACTTCTATCTGGAGTGTGGATTTTTTTTAAAGATTTATTTATGCATACAAGAACTGGGGTGTAGCCCAGAGGTGGGGGTGTGTGAGAGGTTTCACCCGAGACAGAGTGGGGAGCAGAACAGGCAGATCTACTGAAATACACTGCTGAGGGGAGCAGTGGACGAGACAGGAGAGGTCTGCTGTGCCATGTGGGTAGCTCCCTGGCCAGTGATTGAACTCATGCCACAGTGTCTGGCGACAGCTTGATAGCTCTGAGACTTTAACCCCTGTGCCACTAGGGGGGCCCTGAGTCTGTGGATTTTGTCAGAGGAATTTACTATGTGTTGGGGTGACGTTGTAGGTACGAGCACAGATTATTGAAGAATACGTTTTGAAGTGAGGGACCCTCCCAGTGCCCTCTAATTACCCTTAGGAAATCTGTCTCCTTCTCTGATTCCACAGAAAGCCCTAGATTAGAGAATGCCCCAGCATCGACCACATATAAAGAGCATGAAACACTGACTTCTGAGGTTCTTTCTAATCTTGGGGGAGTCTCATCTGCTTCCTTAGGGGCTGTGCTCAGTTCAGAAGAAGCAAGGAACACATTCCAGAAGCTTCATCTCTGCCACAGAGCCTGCCCACAGGTCCTGGAAAGCAGAAGACACCAGGCTGGTGACATCACATGTCAGTGATGACATCATGTGCCATTTTGAATAAGGCATTTGCAGTGTCTCAGGGAAGGCCTCAATACCTGTAACACTGATAAAAACACCTGGATAGATTCGACCCAGGAAAAGATCAAGAAAAGCAGCAAGTTCTAACTAAAGCTTCTCTTCAGTTTGCCCAGAACAGCCCTGTAAACACTGGGCTGATGGTCTTGCCCAAGGGTGGGATAACAATGGT